GCGAGTCTTGGGGGGGAAAGGGGTGTGGGGGATGCGGGAAGAGACTGGACAAAAATCCTCCACCTATGGATGAGGACAGTGAGGGCGGAAGGTGGGGTGGGAACCGGGTGGAGGGGAGCTATGGGGGGAAAAAAGAGGAACAAATGTAATAATCTGAACAATAAAGATTTAATTTTTAAAAAAAATCATTCTTTCTAGAGCCCAGCTAACTAACAGGAAAACCAATATTGGGAACAATTAGATGAAGCTAAACTGAGAAGTTTAGTTCTGGGTTGGCTGAAGAGCCAGTTAAATATGTGGTTTAGTTTTCAGTTCTAAGATGTTCTGTGACTTTCTTCAAAGAGGCAATGGTTTTGTTCTTAAATAGCTTCTGAAGATAATGACTAATAAGACTTTTATAGGTGATAACTAGCTAGATGAAGAGAAGAAGGGAGGGAGGGAGGAAGAGCTACATATATATGTATGTGTATACATATGGATGTATATATCAAGTAAGTGCATAATATTTCTCGTGGAGGAGGAGATATATGGGAAAGATTAGAGTGAGTCCCTTCAAAATATGAAGATATAAGGCATTATATAAGTTAACCATGATGGGAGTCGCAACTATTTTTCTTCCGATTTTTTAAAATTAAGACATAGTTGAAACAATTACTATGGGGGGAAAAATGAATAGAGGGCTAAAATTTTTCAAAATAAGCCAGAAAACTGAAGTCCATACATAAAATTATTTCTCTTGGTGAAAAGGACCAGGGAAGGTGCCAGGCCTTTGAGACAAGATCAGAAGAAAGTGCTCACAAGAATAAAACATATGGTCTTTGTCTATAGCTGCACAGATTTTTAACTGGAGTGGCAAAGCTATATATACATACAGGTAAGAAATTTTGCAATATCCAACTTCAAAACAGGCTACATGCCAAAATTTGTTTTCTTAAGACTATTTTTGTCCATTCTTGTAACTCAGAATACTTTCTATAGAAACAATGACATATGGATTCCTAAATAAACTACCAGCGCCTGTTTACTTCTCATGGCATATTTTTCCCTGAAAAATAACAAGAAGCACTACCAATGTAAATACATGCAGCTCTAAACTTGTGAATTTTTCTTCCCACAAAATCTTGTTCATCTTACCTGATCGACCTCCCTTAGACAATTGGACCCTGTGTTACAAATGCCAAAATGGCCTCTACTAAACTCAAGAGGCTTAACATTTTTCAACATCCCTTCTAATATTTATAAACACAAATAGTCTCAATTCTCAAAAACTATATTTGCTAAATTTTACTGAGAGGCAGAAAAATAATAGTGAGAATTAACATAATTGATCATGATAATCACAATTAGTTTTATTCTTTAACATTGAGCTACAGCAAAATAAATATTAACCATTCAAATATGGAGAAAATTGACCCCAAGTAATAAAAAAGGTATGGAATGCCATCAACAGAAGTATATTCTAAGATAAGCAAATTAGAGGTAACTCAATATCTGGCAGTTGATAATATTTTCATTTAACTAAACCCCCAGTTAAATCTGAGCTGGGCTATGGTAATGGGATCTGACGCAGGCTACAGCAAGGAATTCAAGACGCCATCAGTATTTTCACGGGAAATTCCAATTTAAAATTACAAAGTAACCAAAAATGAAAACTTGGGCAGTGTTGAAAACCAAAAGAAAATGAAAAATATGAACCTGGAAGGAAGTTAATATTGTCAACCACTAAGTGGATGGCAGAATTAAAGCAAGAGAGGAAAATATTTTTCTGTATTGGCCATTCCAGCTCATTACCATTTAGTAAGTAGTGGCACTGTGATGGACTACATAAAATTGGGTTTAAAAAGAGTGGTCAGGTATCCAGGTGTCTTGGGGCCACCCCCCACTGTAGTTTTAAGGTGCCCATTCCATCTTAATCTTTTATTCTTAAATCAAATCTGCCCATGGGTCAGAAGAATCAGTGCCTTCCAAAAGCCAAGATATTTCCTTCCTCATAAAGGAAGATCAGGCTTACCATAAAAGAGCCTTGCATCGGGACCAGAAATGCCCAATAGCATGGGATTACAGTCCTGAAATTCCCTGGAAGGAACACCACCTTGATACGCTGACAATGGTATTGAGTTGAACATGCCTCTTGTATAACACTTGCTCCTTAGAGCACATTCATTCTTAAGGCAACATCTGGTACGCTCAATCATCAGATGTTGCCTTAAGAATGAATGCTGGCCCTAGCCAGCTTGGCTCAGTGGATAGAGCGTCAGCCCGCAGACTGAAGGTCTCAAGGTTTAATTCTGGTCAAGGGCACATACCTAGGTTGCAGGCTTGATCCTGGGCCCTGGTCAGTATGCATGCAAGAGGCAACCAATTGATGTCTCTCTCTATGTTTCTCCCCCTTCTTTCCACTTTACACCTTTCTTTACTATATTTTACGAAAAGGGTAGAAACATTAATACATATAACTTTCTGTTTAATTGCTATTAAAATTTTTAAAAACATTAATTTCCAGGGGGCACTGAGTAATATTTTTTCTGGAAAGGGGGTGGTAGGCCAAATAAATTTGGGAACCCCAGGCACAGGTTATCAGAATCAGGATAATGAATGAAAGCTCCATTACTTTGAAGTATTTGTATCTGCCAAAGCCATGTCCTCGAAGGTAAATCTGAAGGAAGAAAATGCTTCTCTTACCTTGTCTTTTAGTTTTTCCATCCAGCTTCTCACTAGGGAAAATAAGAGAATAAAATGTAAACAGCCATCATTTTACTTATATTTCATTGCGTTAATTCAATAACATTTAAATAGCATTAAGTTAATCTAATATGATACCTTATTGTATGAAATACAGTAAAAGAGTCAATAGTATTCACATAAGGACAGAATAGCCTGGTTCTCAACAGGAAGCACATTGTTAGATGAACAGAGAATACTTTGGTTTGCTAAATGTATTTTTTATTATTATAAAATGCCTTGGAGGGAGGTCTAAGGAAGGAGAGAGGAAATCACCTTTAAAATATCAAGTTCATTTCTTATCTGACATTTTCTCCTGAGCTGCATTCTTCATTGCTTTCCGTTTTTAAGTTCACTGGGAATGCTACACTTGAATCAATGTCAGAGCAGGGTAAGGTAGGAAGTGGCCAGGGGCAGGGCCCAGCACTGGCTCCAAAGCGAAGCACTGGCTTTCCCATTTGAAGAAAAACCTGACCAAAGGTGAGGGAACAGAAAGTACTTCTGAAATATATCTAGCTGCAAAGTGTGCCACTCCATCACAACTTAACCACTAAGAAAAAAATAAAAGCAATAATCAAGTAATATTTATAAAAGGCGACTGGAAGGGATTACATCCACCATGAAATGTTTTACAGACCACTCTTACAACCATCTGGAATTACATGTACCAAGAATAGAAGGAAGCATCAGTCAAAATGAAGACATGTTAGAATGACCAGGTAAAGAGTAGTTTAAAGTTAGTGGTGGGATTTTTCATCCTCACCTGACTTTTAAAGCTATAAAACTGAATGAAAATTCATTTTTAAAAAGCATCAAAAAGGAGAAAACAAGACAAATACATCCTCATTTTACATATTCACAAGCACTGGCGATTAACACCCAGACATCTTTGCAGGGAGCATTATTCTCTTCATCAGACCAGGTAACTTCCCTAATTTCTCCACCCGAGGCGTGTTCCACACAGCATCTGGGAGAATTCCCAGCAGCAAGGAGCCCCAGCAATAATCCACTCAGGAACACGCATTACTGGCGCTCCACTCACCCGTCTCACTGAAAACTTGGGCAGTGTTGAAAACCAACAGAAAATGAAAAATATGAACCTGGGAGGAAGTCAATATTGTCCCTCACTTCCTCCCAGTTTGCTTTTAGGGAAAAGTCAAACTAAGATACTCGTCTAATTCTGCCACCATAGGCAGGTGCTCCCTTTGCCAGGCCAATTTTATTTCTTTAAAAAAAGAATGTTAACTTTATTTATAAACATGTGGTTTGTGTTTATACACATGATAATAAACCAAAAGGAAAGAACTGTTTTCAAGAAATAAAACTTCATCTGAATTAGTTTAAATACTATATACAATGTACTTTATACAAAATGTGTTACATTAATTTTATTTATTTTGTACATTAAAACAAGCTCTTAGAATGAGCAGAAGGAGCAAGGAAGGTAGGCAAGCTGGCCAAGCTCAAGGCAGATGCCATCTCTATTTATCTAAGTTAATTTTAACTGAAGGACTAAGGGCTACCTGAATTTGTAAAATATACCCTTTCCATATAGCATTGTGTAAGATGTATTTCATAGGTGGTTCCACTTAGCTCACATTCAATTTTGAAAAGGTTATAAATACAGTTTCTTTAATAATCAAATTTTCAACCTCATTTATACCTTTAATAAGGTAGGAAACTTTATTTTTATCTTAATCGGTGAAAAGAGAAATGTATGTTCCACCTAAATAAATAATAAAATATCAGAGCATAGTCTTTTGCTCGAAGCATACATAACTAAATTTCGATTACAGTATCAATAAATAAATGGAGACCAGCTCTTATTCTTCCTTGTAATTTATAACCATAAGTGCCTCTTCTAGCCCAAGAAACCGACAAAGCTATTTTCCAATTTACATAATTACACTTAAGAATAATAAAACTTACCAAGTTTTAAATATTGTTTGCATGTTTTTTAAAGGAACTTGAGTTTTTCCAGCTTTGGATTAGTCGCTAATGATGCTAAATTTACCTGCTTTAAAATCACACAGAAACCCTATCTATAATCATTTGCTCTTCACATAATTACAGAACAGCAAGATCCCGATGAATAGAATGACCTACTTCTCTGCATAGGGCTAAGTAGCAGTAATCATGCATCTAAGAAGCAATTAATTCTGAAGGCTCTGCACTAGTATTCACAGAGAAGGGTGCGAGAAGCCGATACCCTAATCTCAAGTTTCAAGTAACATTAAGTAGATATTTCGTTAACTACAAGCTAAGAATGACACTAGATGCCTACTGGGAAGATGCAGTTGAGTACAGGACTTTCTCTTTGCATCTTCCCAGTAGGTATCTAGTTATGAACTTCAACCAAATGGCAATACAGGTGCATAAATGAAGAAGTGTGTGTTTCTTTCTCTTCCCCAAAAGAGAACCATGGTATCCACTATTGCTCACCGAGGGAAAAACAATTTGTCAATATTCCTCCTCTTTACCTGATGATGAGGGAAAAAATGAAAACAAAAGGTCACTGTGCTTTGCATAAGACATCCTTGAAAATTCTGTTGAGCACTGAAGTTTCTGGTCTCACTTTTACACTCCCCAGCATCAAATCCACACCCAGGGGACCTGAAATTCATCCCAACTCACCGTGACAGGTCTCTCTTCACATTTCCACTACCCAATTTTCAATTGATTGGTGAAAAAGAAAAAAGTTTAGTATTCAGGCTTTATTTTTAACAGAAAGTTTACTGTTTCCTGAAGTGCAATATTGTGAGGCTCCCAGTGCAAGGTCAAGTCTGTGAGTTGCTTGCCAGATCCACTGAATCTACATTTTGTCATCTCATGTGAGGCTTTAACAGCCATAAAAGCCCATCAGCCCTAGCTTCAGTCTTCCATTATCAATTTTATGTAAAGTTATAGACCACTTCAGCTTTAAGACAGGTCCTCACACACCCCTCTTTTTTATATAAATTTTGGGGCTTTCACCGATAAACATCATGGCTTGATTGTAGGATGCGGCAAAGAGAAGCCTGGCTACTGACCAGGTAAGTTTGAGATCTCGTGTTCACTGATGACCTTTATCTAAGCTTTCTGATATGATTCTACATAATCTACATGAAGCTCCCACTTCCCTAGTGTCATGGCTCGGCCAACTGATGAAATCAATTAGAAGTGGAGAGCTGAATGAGTGAGTCCTAGAGTGGTTTCCAAGGCAGTCTCGGGGTTTGCTTTCCAAAGTTCAAATTACCAGTTTATAATGTGTCACTCTTCATAATAAATAATGGGCAAACAGCTAGCTGCATGCACTCTCAAGAGAAACTAGGGCAAATCTTTGGTTAAGAGCTCCTGCGCATTGCAGTTAACACTTGAAGACAGAGCTTTTCTGCCATCTAAATGGATTACTTCAAAGGTAAGGTAGAGTGCAGGCAGCTCTGGTGGGGTGGAATATATATATTACACACACACACACACACACACACACACACACACACACAGGAATACCACTAAGCTTTAAAAAGGAATGAAGTAGTGATACTTGCTACAACATAGATGAACCTTGAAAGCACTATGCTAAGTGAAAGGACACGAGGTACTATGTGAACCCTCCTGGAAGCTGGGTAGATGCCACAGAGAACAGAAAGGATTCATATTCCAACCACACATACTCAACTCATTGTGCCTCAGGCCACATGTGACAGCCACCTGCTGCACTCCCTATTGGAGCAAACACCCAAGTCAGCCTGCCTGGCTGACTAGAAAACAGGAGTTTCTTCTTATTGAAACATACAAAATATAACATTTTGCACTTAGATTATTTCTCTGGAGTAATCATAAAATGTATAATGTCTACTGACAGGCAAGAAACAGAGGAACCAGGAGCAAAGTCTTACTTAGATTTCTTACTTGATATGTTTTTATTTAATTAGAAGAAGAATCCAATATATATTAGTATTTAATAGGTACCAAATATTATGTCAGGAAATATCTATGAAGGCTTATATATTTATAAATTAAAATTAAGACTGCAGTTATGTTTAAAAGAGAGGAGGAGAAATTGAATTGCATTTTTTTTCAGCAGACATAATTAAACCCCAAAGCTCTGAGCATCGATTAGACACTAGAAATAAAATGTGATTATCCCAGAGACTCATTTCCACGCAAACACTTTTATGAGTTATTTAACTGCGCATGGCCGTGAATTAGCCGTCAACCAAAATGGATTTGTTTTTACCTAGTAACAAACCTTGAACCCACTTATGAGTTACTTATGAAGAAGCAGCCAGAGAGCTTTCATTGAATTGCAAGATAACCATCTACATTATTAATAAGTTTATTTCCTTCTTAATGTAGAAGTCAAAGGCCATCAATGCTAGGTGACAAATGTACACCAAGAGAGCCTAAGCAAACAACATCCACTTTCCCCATGGCCCAGCATCACGGAGAAACAGTGTTCCAAGATGTGTGTGAGGTTTTCTGTTCACGCAGAGCACCTTCAATAGACTTCACAGAGAACTACAGCTACGGTGAACATCTGAACTCTAAGAGAGATGCTTCCAACATTTTAATGTAGTTTACGATAGACTAACAAAATGAAAGTCAAGACCCAGTCATTTACACAGAACCAAAAAGAAATCAAAGAATACTCTTCCCTGTCACTGTTTTCTCCCACCACATACTTCATAGGAAGCTGCCATCATGTTTCATCTTAGTGCCACAAGAGCCCCTGCTTAAAACTCCTTTAAAGCTTCCTATTGCCATGGGGGGCGGGGGGAGGGGCCTCTAAACTTCTTCACATGGCTTACAAGGTCTGTATGATTTCAGCTCTCACAAGCTCAGTGCACCTCTCTCCAGATCTTCACACTTACTCTAGCTTCTGTCTCCACCTCCTCTTCTCCCAACTCACTCCTCCTCACTCTCTAGGGTACTGTTCAGGGAGGTCTACTCTGACTCCTGGACTAGCGCCCTCTCCTGGAGCACCCAGAGCACCGTGTTGTTCTCATACTGTTAACATCACCTGCCACATGTAATACGATCATGATTGTCCTGATTTAATGAGTGTCTTGCCTATTAGCCGATTCAACTCTCTGAGGTAGAGAATATGTCTGTCTTGCTCACTGAGGCAGCTCCAGCAACTCAGAGCCTGGCCCAGGGTGGGGACACTCTCTGTTGAATTAATGACTCATCTTCCATTACAGCACATTCTTGCAAGGACTGGGGCCAAGCGTGCACATGTGGAGCCAGGTAAAGGACAACCAAGCTAATATATCTAATACGGTCCTACTGAATACTATCTGTAGGAAGGGTTCTTAACCATTTTGTGCAATGGACCCCCCTGTCAATAAAGACTATGGACTCCTTCTTGGAGTAATTTTTATTTAAAAAATCATAAAATAAAATTATAAAATGCGAGAGAAACCATTATATTTAAATTCCACTATCAACCCTGGCCAGTCTGGTTCAATGGGAGGCAACCAATTGATATGTCTCTCTCATATCCATGTTTCTCTCTCTCTCTCTCTCTCTCTCTCTCTCCTCTCTCTCTCTCTCTCTCTCTCTCTCTTTACACCCTCCTTCCTTCCCTTCCTTCCTTCTACTCTCTCTAGAAATGACTGGAAAAAATATCCTTGGGTGAGGATTAAATTCCATTATCAAATTATTTTTAGCCGAAACCGGTTTGGCTCAGTGGATGGAGCGTTGGCCTGCGGACTGAAGGGTCCCAGGTTCGATTCCGGTCAAGGGCATGTACCTGGGTTGCGGGCATATCCCCGGTGGGGGATGTGCAGGAGGCAGCTGATCGATGCTTCTCTCTCATCGATGTTTCTGACTCTCTATCTCTCTCCCTTCCTCTCTGTAAAAAATCAATAAAATATATTTAAAAAAATTATTTTTAAATTTGTGATACTATAGTAAAGAAGCCTTTTTACTCTCTCCTAAAATAAGAAGGTCTAGTGGCAGGTCTAATTACTACCCTAATCCCAAAGTAATGATGAGCATAAGTGACATTGAGATATCTGTGATAACTATAATGTGATCGAAAACTATCTGTAATATCTGTAATATTTGTTGTGAGAAAGATATACTGCTATTACTGCTGTGGATACTGGCTACACTTATTAGACAAAACACTAAAATTCAGGTAGACGTTAGTGAAAATAAGGATGTAATTTTGACCATCCAAGTGACCACCGGAGGGAGATGGCTGTGAAAGCTGCAGAATTGCACTGCTTAGCTCTCCTGCTGTGGAGGAGTATGGGTAGGGATAAGTTTGTTTTACATTGAGAAGAAAACTTATTATCCCTACACAGATGGCCATATGGGGTTAAGACCAAGGACTAACCTCCCCTTCACCGATTCCCAGATCCATAACCACATCTGTGCAGTGTCCATGTGTTCCCTGGCTGCTCTCAGACACTGACTACCTGAGCATGGTGGGGTGCCAGTGCAGCCCATCCCTGTGGGCCGGGGGCAGGGAAAGGGGGTCCCCTAGTGAGCAGTTTGGGCTCAAAAATTCACAGTCAGCCTGGCCAAATCATTCTCAGAACTGAGCTGTCATCTGGGTCTTTTCCTACCCAGTCTTTCTTCCTTCCCCCTCTCCTTTCACTGCAGCCAAACCTGCATTGCAGTCAAAGCTATCCCAACCTCCTCCTGCTCCCTTCCCTTGATCCTCCGGGTGTTTCTCCCATTAAATCTCCTGCACACATAATCCCATCTTGATTCTGCTTCTTAGAGAATCTGTACACAATTCCTTTTAATAAGGAAAAGAAAATTCTATTTAGCTGAGTTGATTCAAAGCTGGTATTCTGAAGATTATTGGGCACACTGTATTTACAACACCTTACCAATATCTACTTCCTGAGTTCAGAAGAGTTTTACAAAGAATTAAAAAAAAAAAAACAAAAAACAGCTTTCCCATTAACTCTTTGTCAGCTAAAGGAAGGGTCATATAGGGTTAAGACCAAGGGCTAGCCTCCCTACACAGATGACAATGGCTCATTAAGGAGTCTGGAACAGAAAGAAGAGGGCTAAGACCTGCAGCCAGCACAAAGACTTGGTTTAAACACTATAATTTGAAGGAGACTCAATGTCAACCCTTCAGGGCACCCTGCTTCTCCTTCTTGAGAATCCTGACTCAGTACTATGGGGTAGGACTCCTCATACGCAATAAAGAAGTCAATATACTGGATGGGCAGGGGTAACTTAGCATTGCAGAAAAGATGCTTAGAAAACAGGGTTAGGACAAGTACATTTTAATAGGGAAGAGGGACAGAGGCTGCTGAGAGCACACTCGCTCCACACGGGACTGCAGGAATAATAACAACCTAAAAGGTACTATTGGAACCAAAATAGGGAACAAGGACACACCAGAAAGGGGGACTGGGATTAGCACAGAAATATCAAGAAGAGAGAAATAAACACAAATATGAAGTTTCTAAGAGCTGATGGGGAGAAATGTGTTCTTAACATCCCAACTTGGAACTTGGAACATGTTTTTCCACCGAGACCTCTTCTGGTGCATTGGTTAGATTTTCTCGGCTCCTTAGAAAAAATTCTACTTCTGGTACATTGTGAGCTAAAGAGCTGTTATGGGCTGCCCCAGGGACCTTACCACAACATATAATATGGTTTTTAAGGGATAGTGTCCTTTGCATTTCAATCCATTTTGGGAAAAGAATTCACCCGGAAATACACAACATCCCATGCTTCTCTGCGTAGGAAGAAACATGGTGTTGTGGGCTGAATTGTGTCTCCCAAAAAGACATGATAATATCCTAACCTCCAGTACTTCAGAATGTGGCTTAATTAGAAGCAGGATGCTTGCTGGTGTAATTAGTTTAATTAAAAGGGGGTCATACTGGAGTAGGATGGGCCCTAATGCAATATAAGAAGAGAAGAGAGACACACAGAGATGAGATCGCCGTGTGAAACAGAGACACTTAGGGAGAATGCCATGTTATGACAGGGGCTGAGACTAAAGCGATGCATTTACAACGCAAGGAACACCAAGGCTTCCCCATAGTGCCAGAAGCTACTAGGAAAGAAGCATCACGCGACCCACAGGTTGAGAGCCGCTGCCTTCGAGTCTCAGGCAGGAACCAACCCTGTCAAAACCTTGATTTTGACTTCTAGACCCCAGAACCGTGAGAGTGTATATTTCTCTTGTTATAAGCCACCCAGTTTGTGGCACTTTGTTCAATGACAGCCCAAGGAAGCTAATATAATAAGCATAGGGCTCCCCACCACAACCCTCCCTGTCTAGACGTCCTGCCTTTGTTACAAATCTCACAGTCGTGTACCAGGTTTCATGGGGTTGGACTCCATGCCGAGAGGGACAACACTTTTGGGAACTGGATCCCTGGTAGCAAAAATCACCTTGCTGACGCTCTCTCTCTAAGGACCTGAGTCACCTCCTTGTTCCTCGGGAACAATCTGCACGCTGAGGTAACCTAGTTCAGTCCTGGCCCCAATATATTACACTTAAATTGTACTTTTATTCCAAGAACACTTATGAAAATTGCCTCATTAATTCTCATGGCTCTCCTGTACAGAAAGAAAGGGACAAGTACCATTATCGCAACTTTGAAGATGAAGACACTGAATTCTAAGATCCCAGGACGACGAAAAACATTGCGAAGTCATCGGCTCCAAAGAGGCCCTAACCTGTTGATTGGCAGAATCACCTGAGCAGCTCAGCAAACGCACAGGCCCACAGCCTCCGCTCGGCTCAGCAGCCCCAGGACACAGCCCGGGAACATGTATTTCTAACAAGTTCCCCAAGGAATATTTTGCTTAATAACCTGACTAACACAATTTGTGTTAGTTTGTTTGGGAATCACACAGTGATGTAGTCTTTCTCAGGTTTTAGAAAGATCATGACATTTGTCAACGATGGACCACATATAGGACAATGGTTCCAATGGGTTATAATGAAGCTGGAAAATTCCTATCACCTAGCAACGTCATAGCTGTCATTAATAGAGAGAAATGTTCATGGTGCTTTATCTGCTTACAAGTAAATCTACGGTTGAAAAAAAAGAAACAAACCAAGTAAACAACCATGGACATATTTCTGAAATATGACTGAAACCTTCTCAAGAAGAGCCTCAGGCAGGTCCTACAGGAGGTTTTCCAAATGAAGGCACTGTTATCATGGGAGACGACAGCTCCATGCATGTGACTATCCCTGAAGACCTCCCATGGGACAAGACATGCAGGCGGGAGACAGTGATACTGATATCCTGACCCTGTGAAAGCCTAGGCTAATGTGTGTGTTTGTGTCTTAGTTTTTAACAAAAATGTTAAAGGAAAAAAAATAAAAGTTTTTAAAATAGAACAAAAAAGCTTATAGACTAAGGATATAAAGAAAGAAAATAGTTTTAGCAATAGCTGTACAATGTGTTTGTGTTTTAAGCTGTGTTGTTATAAAAAAAGTTTAAAAGTTTAAAAAAAATTTAAGTTTATGAACTAAAAACATCACAGTAGCTAAGTTTAATTTATTATTGCATATTTTTAATAAATTTAGTGTAGCCTAAGCGTACAGTGTTTATAAAGTCTACAGTCATGTATGGTAGTATCCTAGGCCTTCACATTCACTCAACACTCACTCACTGACTCACTCAGAGCAGCTTCCAGTCCTGCAAACTCCATTTATACTAAGTGCCCTGTACAGATGTGTCATTTTTTACCTTTTATACTGTATTTTACTGTGCCTTTTTCTATGCTTAGATATGTTGGATACACAAATACTTGCCACTGTATTATTACTGCCCACAGTATTCAGTATAGTAACACGTTGTGCAGGTTGTAGCCTAGGAGCAATAGGCTATAGCATGTAGCCTAGGTGTGCAGTAGGCTATGCCATCTAGGTCTGTGTGAGTGCATGCTATGATCTCCGAATGAAGAAATCACCTAATGATGCATTTCTCAGATTAAATCCTCATCATAAGCAACACATGACTGTGTATGAACAGATCCCTTTTACAAGATTAAATTTCTATTAGTCTTCCGGTACTAATAAATTATTTTTATTATAATTTTACTTTAAAAATACAACCATAGAATAAAATAGAACCTGAGGCACAAAAACATGGAACAAACAGACTGACGAATCTCAGAGGAAAGGGAAGAGGTGGGGAGGGAAGAGACGAACCAAAGAACTTATATGCATACATGCATTACCCATGGACACAGACAATAGGGTGGTAAAGGCCTGGGGTAGGGTGGGATCCAGGTGGAAGGGAGCAATAGGAGGGGGTGGGATACTCTCAACAATAAAGATTTTTTACAAATACAACCCTAAACCTAGATTTTTTTTAAATTACCTAATTATGATAGCTCTTTTATTTGACCATAAAACCAGAACAAATTTTAAAATTAAACAGAATCTCAATAAAATCTAAATTGACACCAGCAGGTTCTATAGGACGGCTACTGGACTTTAGATGATCTTTCACTGCTGCAAGACCAAGTGGCAGGCTCAGGCCACATGTGCTCCCGGAAACTCCATTCCCACAGCTCTTTCCTCCAACAACCACAGACAGGTCTGCCTTCCCACAGCCTGTCTCAATGTCATGGCCTTTGGTGCAGAAGAACATGATCATCGAACACAACACAAACACAGGCTTTCCAATCGCATGGCGTGCTCAGCTATGGGAGTCATCCAAATTATCTAAACTATGCTTATCCTAATGTGTTCACATTTTCATCCAAATATGTGCACAAGATTTAAAGTTTCTCATAATAAATTTGTGGAACTCCCTTTGATAAACCTTGATCTAAACCATCTGCCTTCTTTTGGGTAGTGTCAGAATTCAGTAAATGTGGTTTTCAATTTCTTAGTAGGCTTAACACTATACTGTGCTTACTGTATAGCAAATAAACTGTTTTAAGCCCATTATATAGTGTACAAGATGATGTTTACCTTTTAGCAACCATGAAAGGCAGGTTCAACCATTAGCTCCATTGTGCAGATGAGAGAACTGAGCAAGAGAGGGTAAGTACTTTGCCCAAGATCACACAGCTCCGAAGTGGCAGACCTGGGAATTGAGCCCAGGGAGTCTAGCTCCAGAACCAGTGTTCTTCACCACTAAATACAAACACTTGTCAAGTGATGGATTCACATCCCAAGATTAATGGTAGAATCTGGCTTCTCTCTGCTCCCAAAAAGCAGGACTCTGAGGCAATGGATCCAGGCCAGCATGAGTTGTAGTAATTAGAAGCTTGGGGAGGGGTGGGAGGTTGTGCAGCATAGCGCTAGGGAAAAAAAGGGCCTTAGGGACTCACCAAGTCAAAAAGCCAGGCAAACCACCCAAATAGGCACCCAACCGGAAAAGCTGGGTAAAGTGGAAAAATTCAGGTAGGTATCAATAGGACAGAAACCAAGGAAACCAGATGAGTGAGCAGGTCTGGAGGCAGTGAAACAGAGCTTAGAAATATTCTCTAAGCAGAAAAGAAAAATGCCTGCAGCCTTGAGAGTGACAGGGAGGAAGCTGTTAAAGTTGCCAACTTAGCTCCAATAGAATTCTGCAAAAAGGAATCCCAGTCCTCACAAGATAGATAAAGGTGACACTAGAATCTCTGGGGAGTGAAAATCATAAAAGCTGCCCTGGCTGGGTGGCTCAGTTGGTTGGAGCATCGTCCTCTACACCAAAAGGCTGCAGATTCGATTCCTAGTCAGGGCACATACCTAGGTCATGTGTTTGATTCCCTGTCAGGCACGTACTGGAGTCAACCAATTGATGTTTCTCTCTCCTTTCCTCTCTCTCTAAAATCAATAAAAACATATACTAGGGTGAGGACATTTTTTTAATCATACAAGCTCATTACAGGAAGAACCCAAGGCTCCATCCTCAGAGACAACTGTATATTTTGTCTTGCCATCTGAGCCTTGCTAACTAATACTTACTTCTCTCCTTCCAAAGATAGAAAGACAGCAAGCTACATGTCATGGGCTCAATCAAAGATGAAGCATGAAGACTCAATGGCTGTCCTACTCCAATGAATAGTCTGCTTTTTGAAAACCTTATCTGGATATAATTCATAGGAAGTTACCTAAAAGGAAAACTGGGTTTGTGTGGTGAGGATAACATATACCTGCAATACTGACCAACATGGCTTTCCTCTCCCCTTCAAATTAGCCGACGTTCGCCTTGGCAGTCAGCACTTCATGCCTGTCTGCTTCTGGAGAAATCTTGCCGCTTTTTCTAACAGAAGGACAATTTTTTTAAAGGAACAGCAACAACAAAATCACAAGAAAAATATGGGAAATGAGAAAGACTGAAAAAAATGTGAGAGTGAAAGCAAGAGGAGTAACATGAGACTTATGATGTCTGAAAGCTAGAGAAGGGGTGAGGGGGGAGAGGAAGAGAATCTTTTTAAGTGACTGGCATTAAGTAAGAAGAGAGAATGTAATTGGGCTTTGTGCCCATAGTTAAACCTTTTACTTCAGAGATAAGAAAATCAACCCACCGGACTTTTGATCCACATGGCGCTAAGCCTCACCGATGAGAGAAGAAAAAGACGTAAGCAAAATCAAAGGAAAACTGTGCCATAGAGAATAGATGATCTTTCACTGCTGCGAGATACACTTATTTCTGAACTATAAAAAAAAGTTGTCATTAACGTAGATACATTTCTCTTTTTTTTCAGGGGGTGTCTTTCCCAGTCTATGTCAGCACTAAATTTTATGTGTGATGGTTTGGCACCAAAGGAAGCATCTATTTTATGTTATAAAGTAAAAGCAAAGATGTAGATTCAGAAGAGCCGAATGTTTTGAATCTGATGAGCCTACATAGGTTCTCTGTGCTGGCTCAGTTCAACAACTCATTAAGCTTCTTCTATGACATGGCACTTGCTGGAGGTTCAGTACAGAGATGATCAAGACGCAGTCCCTGCCTTCAAGGAGCTTAGGTCTCACAGGAAAAACCCCGCAAGAATTAATATCAGGCACATGGTTAAGTCCCCATGATGGCAAAGATGTCGGTCACAAATAATGAATATAGGCATTAATGAAGGATGTTTTTACTTCTATGGAAACTCAGGGAGAAACTCGCTTCCCTTTGAGGATTTTCTAAGTTAATGATAGTGACACGAGGGTGCCATGCCCTAAGCTCATCCTTCCCAACAACACAGGCACATCCACGGCGGCTCAGAAAAAGAGCAACCCTGGTTTTCTTTAAGTCTCAACCATTGAATTCTGATCCTGAATCCCTCGTTGGTTCCCCTTATGATTCCCTGTTCCTATGGCTTAAAGAGTGAATGATTCTACCCAGAATCATCTCTGGTAAAGGATTTGTGTCCACCAGGTTCTCATATAGAGACAGACCTGACTTTACATTCGTCCGTCTGCAGTGCCAGCTCAGGTCCCACAGCATGGGACCGTAGCCTTCTAACCGTAGCCTTCCAGTGGAGCACTTTTCAGATGGCTTCACCTCTGTGGTTTGATTTTCTAATGGCCGTTAGTACAACACTGTCTCACCCTGCAGATGCAGTGATGTGGAAAGGGGAGCGGATGAACAGACCCTACTCCAAGTCTGCAGAGGCTGCAGTAAAGCTCTTGGCTGCTCTACTTGCATCCAGTTCAGTCCAAGCAAGTCCAATGGGGACCATACTGCTTTGCTCATTATTATACCAGCTAACGTTTACTGTACGCTTACTGGGCACCAGTGCTCTGCTGAGTATTTGGCAAACATCTCAGCAAGTTCTCAAAACTACTCTACTGCCGTCACATTTTACAAAGAAGGAAGCTGGGGAAGTGCAGGGCTCAAGGGGCCATTCTACAAATGCTTGATTGAAACTGTCTCTTACCTTCAGAGCTTTTTTTGTCAAAGAATTTTCAGAACTGTTGTTGGTTTGCCTCTCTGCTGCCTTCCCTCAGTCAACCAGTCTCTCTATCTTGAAACAGTCCTTTCCTTTCTCTTCTGTGACATCATGCTTCTCATCTCTCCTCCTCAGGCTTCTTTGGGAGGTCTTACCTACTACTGTATCTCCCCTTTGAATTATTAAAGTTTCCCAGAGTCCTCTTCCAGGCCTTCTCCCTCTAAACTCACTCTGTAGGCATTCTCACCTACTCCCATGGCATCAGTACCATTCAATGCTGATGACTGCAAAGTGTATAGCTCCAACTCAGCCTCTTCTCTAAGACATAGCTCTCTTGCAAGTGTCTCTCATGTACCTGAAACATAAGTCATGATCTCTCCTCCTCCCCACTCCTGCAATTCCCCTAACTCATATCCTACCCTGGTCTTACCCATCTCAGTAATGACACCACTACCCACTCAACTGCATCAGCCAGAATCCTATGAGTCACCTTTAA